AGCTTTACTTTTATCCCCCCTGTTTTCAACCCCCAATTCTCGGCCCTCCCCACCTTGCTTCAATAGTCGTTTGTCTTTTAGTTTCAACTCACATGTGAACACGGAGAGCCATTCCTGCCCTGTCAACAGGCCCATGTCCAAGCAAGCTGCCCATTCCAGTTCATCGGCTTCCATTTGGAGCCCTCGATCCTCCTTCAGATTGGCATGCCTCAATGTTCGCACATTGCTTCAGATTGGTCAACAGGCAGCACTTGCTCGAACGTTAGAGACCCTCTCGATCGATATCTGCTGCTTACCGAAGACCCGCTTGCAAGACTCGAGCTCTGTACTCACTTTGCGATCCCGTTCAGAGGATGCGAGCAGCCCTTTCTCATTGCGCATATCCGGTGGTGATGTAGCTTCGAGCACCGACCAAGCTAGTGTTGGCATTGCCCTGAGTCCTCGGGCTGAAGCTACACTGGTTGATTGGATTCCAATCAGTAGCCGGATGTGTGCGGTCCGATTGGCTGGCTCGTTCAAAGTTTCGAATTCGCGTAGGATTAACAGGTGTCTATTCGTTATCGCTGCCTATGCACCGACAAACTGTAGCGATGACTCGGTAAAAGACGACTTCTATCGTCAACTGAATGAGCTTCTTAGCCACAGAAGAAGCTCGGACACTGTAGTGCTGGCTGGGGATCTGAACGCTCAAGTTGGAAAATTATCCGCAGATGAGCTGCATCTGGGCGGCCAACATGGTATAGGCTCCCGAAATGATAACCATGAGCGTTACTTCATTAGTGTGAGGATGCTCGCTTATTTCTTGCGAGCACTAATTTCCGACACAGCACCAGCCGGAGGGTGACTTGGCGCCCACCAGCCTCGAACCAGCTATGGACGTATATCGATCACATTGTTATCAGTTACCGCTGGAGAGGCTGCATCCAGAACTGTCGCTCGATTTGGAGCACAGGTGTTGACACCGATCATGCACTTGTATGTGATGACCTGCGGATGCGCTTTGGCGGACGCCCAGGACGACGTTGTGAGCGCATTGACACCGGCAGACTGGTGAATCCAGCTGTTCTGAACGCCTATCAAATTACGCTGTCATCCGAGTTGGATAAACGCTCACTGGATGCAATTGAATGTCGCTGTTCTCATATTCACCAGACCTTACTAGCAGCAGGCAAATCCTCATGTGGTATGTCTAATAGTCAACATGAACATTGGGTTTCTTCACAGCCTTTGGAACTTATAGATGCTCGCCGGCATATTCCGGCTAGAAGAGAACACAATGAAACTCACAAAGAGCTCCGGGCAAAACTCCGTGCTAGCCAGAAGGGAGACCGCGTATCGTGGTGGTCTCGTCGTGCAACAGAGATGGAAATGGCCGCTGCCCTTGGTAACCATCGTGAGTTATTCCGTCTTATACGGGAAACGGGCAGCAGGCGACCTGGTGTTAGTGAAACTATACGTGACGAGAGTGGACAGCCCATCCACAATTTATCAAAACGCCTGCAATGTTGGGCTGAGCACTTTGAAAGGCAATTTAATCGGTCGGAATTGTTAGATTTGTCGCCGACCAGTGATCGCCCTGCTCCGTGGGCTGTTCCTTTGGATCCACCCTCTCGCTCAGAAGTCGAACATGAGATCAAACTGTTGAAGTTAAATAAAGCCGTGGGACCTGATGACCATCCTCCAGCCCTTTTCAAATTCGGGGGACCTGCTCTGGTGGATGATTTACACGAGTTACTAGTGAGACTGTGGGAGCAGGAAACTGTCCCAACCGATTGGAGCCCATCCGTCATAGTCCCAATTTTCAAAGGAGGCTCACGATCGGAATGCGGCAGCCATAGAGGAATCAGTCTGTTATCCATCGCCTCCAAATTGCTTGCCTCTGTCATTCTTCACAGACTGAATGGCACTCGTGAGAGCCAGATCCGTGAAGAGCAAGCTGGATTTCGTCGAGGTCTTGGCTGCATTGACCACATCTTCACCTTGTGTCAGTTGTTGGAGCACCGTCACATATATTGGCGGCCCACCGTTGTCGTGTTCCTCGATATCAAAGGTGCATCCGATTCGGTGGATAGACATGCACTTTGGTACTGTCTACTCAGGAAAGGTGTACCTGAGAAATATGTGAATATTATCCGAGCATTATATGCGCGTAGCTCGGGCAGAGTGAGGGCTTACGGCAAGTTGTCGTCACCCTTTAATATCTCCAGCGGTGTGAGACAAGGATGCCCGCTGTCACCTTTCCTCTTCAACTTCGCTGTTGACGAATTCATGGAAATCGCGTTCACAGGACACGACTTGGATGGTGTGCAGCTACTCCCAGGAGAACGACTTCTTGATTTAGAGTATGCTGATGATATTGCCCTCATCTGTAACAGCTCCCAGACGTGCCAAGCGGCACTGGACAGATTAGCACTAGCTGTCCGTCAATTCGGGCTTTGCTTCGCACCCTCGAAGTGCAAAGCGTTTCTTTAAGATGGGTCTGGACCGCCTCCTTTGCTCACCCTTGGTGGGAATCAGCTAGAAGTCGGTCAAAAATTCAACTACCTGGGAAGTTGTATCAGCGCTCGTGGGATTGAAGATGAGATCACGAATCGTATAGCAAAAGCTCGGGGCGCTTTTGCTAACCTTCGCGACTTATGGCGCCGGCGCGACATCACTCTTGCAATGAAGGGTAGAGTGTACAATGCAGCGGTACGTCCGACCGTACTGTACGGTTGTGAAACATGGCCGCTTAAAGCAGCGGATCTGAAGAGGCTAGTTACGTTCGACCACCGGTGCCTTCGTAATTTAGCTCACATCTGGTGGGAACACCGCGTGCGCGACGAGCGTGTTCAACGCCTTGTTTACGACACAGGAAAAGGAACTGAACGGCTTAGCACCGTCATTTCACGCATCAGGCTCCGATGGCTCGGCCACGTGTTACGCATGCCAGCCCACCGACTTCCGCGACGTGTGTTGTTTGCGCGCCGGGGGTGTGGATGGAAGAAGAGGAGCGGTGGCCAAGCGATGACTTGGTCCAGAGGAATGAAGACCCTCACTTCTGAGCTGGCCTCGGTTGGAGCTTCTCGGCTCCCAGGTTGGGGTCCGAAAGACGATGAACACGTTTGGTTGGACACACTTGCTGATATGTCTAGGAGCCGACCTCAGTGGCGTTCGTGCTGTGAGTTTCTTTGTCCCACCCCATCCATTTTAGCCTCCCTCTCCAACCCATTACTTAGCCTTATATAATTTTGCATAATAATTTTTTGGGTGCACAGCAGCCGGCTGGTAGCTTACCGGAACGATGCCCATCCGTTACCTGTAGCTCAGCCAGCTTTCACCAGTTGTTTTCTTCTCTCCTTTTTTCTTTGTATTGCGGCACAGTAGCTGAGGTGTTTCCAACCTCTGGCTAACGTGTATGATGATGATGATACTAGGCTGTGGTTCTGAAACATTTGTGTACGCAAAGTTAAGGCGCCATGATTCCTTCGTGTAGCAGTAGATTCCGGATTATAAATTGATGCCGCTTCAAGGATGCGGTGGGCTGTGGAGCTGCGTCACTCCAAAGTGTGTGGGTGCTACTACCGTAGCTTGGTGTGTTCTCTCCGGCCTTCGCATGGAGGTAAGCGATGCAAAGCTTTCCTATATACTGAACGAACTCGTACTCGACGCTGCCATCATCGCCACTGAATTAAGGTGGGCTGCTCTTTTAAAAGCACTGGAGACAGGCACGCATGATGTTTGTCTGTTTACGGGTGTGAGGGATACGCCAAGGGTTGTTCATAAGCGATTAGTAGCCGGTCAATAAACTCAATGTCTCCCATTCTGAAGTTCAACGAGGAACAGTCGTGATCAAACCACAGAAAAGGAAGATGAAAAATGCATTTCGTAAAGTGAAATAAGTCTTCAATTCTTTGCATGCTTGAACACTCCATCAGTCAAAATTTGAGCCTGCGTTAGTCGCTGTTAAAAATGAGCAGTTCATGCTATTCTTGCTCTTAGATCTGGGGAATTTCGCTTTGTACGCCACGCAGGCAATTAGTCTATTAGTTCGGAATTTCACAGTGCTTCCCGTGTGACTAAAGTGATGTGACTGAAGACACAATTGGTATTGGGCACTGCAAGCTGATAACCAAAATGTCCAAGGTAACTCACATATCTGAGGTCGGATAGTTTCCGTATGCCTGCGCATGGTCTCGGTGTCGGTGTTCAAACGAGTGTGGTTCGCACCTCATTTTTGTCACATCTAGTTTAAAGAGTACGTGGGTTCCTTTTCGGGCAGTCATAAAAGATGTGTTCCCCTTTACTTGGCTATGTAATAACGTTGACAGATCGTGTCGGTCCTGGGTTCTGAAGTGTTGATAAGGCCTGAAATAACATTCATGCCAAGACACCTGATTACGAAATCACATCTTGATAGTAGTTTAATACCGATCAAAAATGACCAGTACATTGGCGGATGAACAGCATGCGCTGCTTCCAGTAGCTGGTTTAGCGATTGAACTCGGTCCGTTTTCTGACGGAATCAAGCTTAGGAGTAAGCCTATCATTGTGTTTTCGCTTGTGTATGGTTCGATCGATCGTTGCTTAAAAGCTCTATTCGCCTAAAATGATTTTTCCGTATTCCGAACCGAAGCTGAGCGTTGAGGTTCACTCGTTCACCATTTTGGCTCTCTCCATCACCTGATGCCAAAGGTGACCGCGTTTACAATGGCTACACTGTTGACGTTACTTTACCGTATTGTTTAGCATTTTGTAACATGCAGGATACCTGTAGCTACAGTGTTTCCTCGGAAATCTGAGTTGTCATCGACTCCTACGAGCTCTAAGCATTTCGTACAATGTCTAGAGTATGTACCGAATGTATTTATTTTATTTTATTTTCACCTTCGTCTATCATGCATGAACTTAGGAGAGAGTCAGCTTGATGTTATCTCAGCCAACTCTAGGTTAATTTCCTTGTGTTTCGAACACTGCTCAAGTGAAATACAACAATGCCAACTAATTTCCACTTGTCACAGGCAACAGACGTTGAAAGCCCAAAACTGACTTCATCGGCTGCGTTGCGTGTTTTTCTTAACCTCCATTCTATCCACCACAGGCGTTCAGTGGACCCAACGCGGGAAATGGAGGGTATGCTAGACCACAGACATTAGGTGACACAAAGTCAATCGATGTGAAGGAAAAGCAAGAAATGGGATGGTCCTCAGTGCATGGTATTGGAGAAAACCTCATTAACCTCGGATTATTCCTATGCATGGTCGTTGCAATAACCTTTTTTGTTTGTATCTTTTTGATGTTTATCGCGACCGCGCTACGTCACAGTCGTGTTTCAGTTTCTGAACTAACAACTAGTGGACAACCCACAGTGGGATCAACTGAGCGAAGACCACCAGCGTACGGACGTACAAAGCTTATGCGTCAGCTCAAATATATGCAAACACAAATCCAGTCAAGCGTCGAATATGGCCGGACAAAACTTGATGAGAATCAGTATGCAACTCTACCACTTGGAGTTACAGTGAACTCAGACTCCGTGCTTTTCACAGTAAACTCGGTGTGAACACTCACCGTGATATATGAGAATTACTTACTATTGTATTTATACATACCAGTAACGGGATACCTATTCTTTATTCGTAGGCTACAATGAAGATGGCAACTCAAAACTCTTGTTGAAATAAATGTGGTGACAGTCAATTATCGAATCCACAATAGTATTTAAGGGTAAAATCCCGTTAGCCTTTGAAACGAGGCTGCTAGAGTGTTCTAGAATTAAGCATAATCTTCCGGATGCACATGATGACTTTATCGCTGGTGTAAGTGAATACCTGAAAGGTGTCTTCTTTAAGAAAATATGATAGGGTTCTCTTGGTAATGCCTGATACTTGAGGACATGTTGGTCCAAATGACTGCCGATGTTATAACACAAGTCTGAATGCGATCGAGGCTGCATGCACATTAACAGATCTTATGAGTGCATCCAAAAGCAGGAAAGCAAACTCGCACTTCGATGTATGGTTGCAAATGAGGCAAATAATAGGCATCAATGGCACTCATCATATGTGTCCAATACGTAGGTGTAAATAACTTAGGCGACAGCATTTAACAGCTGGGAGCTACAATGCATGGGAGACTACTGAACAGGAGCAACCGGCAGCCAAGTGTGACGCTCATCAGGAATAATACAGGGCTGCTGAAACGTTCAATAACACTATTTGGTATTTGCACGGTGAATAAATAAACAAGATCGCACAGCACAGACTTTTGAATTAGTACTTATTTTGCGGTTCTCCATTCTTCACCTATGGGCCTTCAATATGAAGGTGATATCATTAAGGGTTCGCATACACTTGGTATAGAAGGCGTATGCTTGCAAAAACGAGAAGTGGTAAACATTTTGGGCACGGCTACATTCCGGATATGCCCAGTAGTCGGTTGCATGATTCTCTTTTCATGGTTTAAGCAAGCTTTGATAACTGCCTAACTTTGCGGGACTTCTGAGTTTAATACCCACATATTTAAGGCTCCCATCCTTGCGAAATGATTCACCACTAATCTTTTAACGAGACCTCTCCATCAGAAGTCCTTCATATCTGTGAGCAACTAGAGTAAACAAAGTGTGCCCCCCCCCCAATGAGAAGTGCTAGCAACTCTTCCATTCGAAGAATCGGCACAAGTCCTCACCACACAAACGGGTTAGATCCTAAATGTTGTCTAACAAATTAACTCTGCATGCTACAACTGGAAATATCTTGAGTGCATGTGATTTGATATAAGAACTGAAAACAGTAAGCCCAATAAATCTAACGAAATTCATCAGGATGGGGTTCGGTTAGGCTTACTAATCTTTTGCCCTTTTTTCTATATTCCGCTGTTTTTAACATTGTGCAGTAACCGTAACGCTTTAGCCGATAAGCACATTGCCGAGGGAGATATGTCACAAGTCACCTCTTCCATCAGTACAATGCACAACCGGGGCGTATTGATCGCGGTAACACGTTGGTAATCTTCATATGATTAGCTAATGGCTCTCAAATTATGTACAATCAAATCTTAAAACTGATGGATTTTGGACAGTAAACATTTCCGTAGATTTCATTTCGGTTGTGCAATTATAAATCAAATATTGTCTTTAATTAAACGCTACGTCAAGTTCTACTGGGATTCCATGAGCTAATTATTTATTATTTGCTTCTCTCATGGTGTAAGTGTGCTGCGACAATTATTTGCAATCTGGACTGAGATCTTTAAGCAAACTTCCTTCAACTTGGTAAGATGGACAGTAGCTGACACGGGTAAGTAAATTCTTTTGGGATATCAGTGAGCGTATGATGCTAGTGAATATACTAAGGTCGGCAGATTGGTACGTACTTGCTGTTACGATCATCCTTGATTGACGCGCGTAAAGTTTATACCATTTGCCTCAGAGACTCATGTATTAGAGCAACCCTAGTGCACAGTAGAGGCGATAAGTAAATTATGCACACGAGGATCTGTTACATTGCCGGAATGGATGAAGGTGGAGTTTCTTATCCTTGTGAAACTACATGATCACAGACAAGTGTATGTTGAATTTTGTTAGGCACTATGGCGGAGGTATTTTTCGGTAAGTCACTTCGAATTTATGGGTGCTTCGTTATGCTCCATTGGGGATACACAGTGTTTCCCTTGTGAATTCAGTGGAATAATGTGAACTGCGTGGAAAGCAACGGATGCCTCTATGCTCCGCTGGACATTTTGTGCCGATTTGGACAAAACTGCTAAAACATCATCTAATTTGGATATGCAGACTGCACTACTTCAAGCTAACTGCCGTGACTTCGCTGATTCGTCAAGGCAAAGCAGCGTCTGAGAAGGGAACTGTGTTACGAATATATCAATAATGAGTCACCAGATCAGTTTTTCTCATGGCTAGACGCCTCATACTGAATAATCCTGAATACAAGTGACATTTTAACATTGCTATTATAATCCATCCGTGCTAGTTATTAAAATATGTTGCAAATGTGCCCACACGGGTACATAAAGCTTATATTGTCTTGATTTGACTTGGCGGATGGCAGAGTTCTTGAATAAGCGGTAAGCTGCACCCACTTTTACTTGCAGGTTAGTTTCGTATAACATTGTAACCACAATTGCAGCTGTTTCGCTGCGCATTCCGAAATTAAATCATTGCCTTGACGGTAAATTTTCGGTCGCTTTCGGATTGACCTTATTCTATAACTACGGGAGAAGGACCAGAAATTAAAGACGGCAGATAATTTGCCTACGTATTTTGTGATATAATTGCAGTCTTAGTCTCTGGAGTTCCCACTGGCTTGTACTTTATAATACGAATGTACACAAATGTGAACATATAGATTAAGATGCAACATAAAGTGAATTTTCGCAATTAACGCGTTCTTTGAGATGCGAGACAGAAATCTGGTTCCAACTTTTGTATTTCTTTCGGTTCTCTGGTGGGGGCTGCAAAATGCGGTTTGCAAGATACGGAATGGGAACCACAGTTTGAGATGCAATTATGGTGGAACAAAAGCAGAATCCACTACGGCAACGATCAAGAGTATAGAAATAACAGGAAAACAGAATGATAGCAGCTCGACAGCGGTCCATACCAACATCCAACCTGAAGAAGAACGCTTAGGAGCCGCAACTATGTGTACCAAAATTGGAAACAAAGCAAAGTGCGTCACGCAGCCTCCATGAGTAGGTGCTCGGAATGGTCGCATTTTCGAACGTCAAAAGTGGCGCATATGGTTGCTGACCTCTGGCACAACAAGTGACCCCGTTCGCACCATTAGGTCTTACAAAATATGCAACGTTTGTTACTACAAAGCTAAAGCATTGTATTTTAAGTAGAATAACTTATTGCACATTTGCAGTGCGTACACTTTCTGGCAGGAAAACCAGTGGCAATTTGAGGAAATGAAGCCTAAGGCCCGGGTTGATTTGCCCTAAAATGTGGTAGGTGCAGCAAAATGCAATCATGCTGGAGCAAAAATTGAGGACTGAAATTGTGGGACGGTTTCCAGAGATTCACTAGCTTCCATACATACATGAGAGATGCACTGCAGACATTGATGCTTGGATAAGTGCTAGATTCAAGTACTGAAAAATCATAAAGGCTTATTAGAAGCGGAGTATTGTTCATAAAGTACGCCAGTGTGCTCCTTTCAACACGACGCACGGTACATCAACATGACGAATAACAGAGGGATTGGATATAGGTAGGTTGCGAAATGCCATGGCAATGAGGCTGGACCTTACCGTGGTGCGATGGTTTGTGTGCCTCTGTGATCCATTGAGCTATACTGCGTGGTGCATTTTTGCACTTTCAGAGCCAATCATACCAGATTGGTCAATGGTTAGAGGCCAGACAAACTCAGCCTCCTGGTCCTCCAGTTTGGGGGTTGGAATGAGGATGGCTCCTTGTTCCTTAAACAAGACTCCTTGTAGCCCAATGCCAAACCCGCTGCCCTGCGGTCAGGTTTTTCAACCAAAGGCTTTGGTTGAGAACCCTAATCGTTCTCCTGTCTAGGCCTGGGCAACCTGACAGTATCCTCCCCACGCAATACAAGGAATTCCTCTTCATACAGTTTCTTGATGCTCTGGCCACCGCAGAGGATAATCAACGGCGCCCTATCTGCTGCATCGGGCAGGGTGGATAGGGGTTTGGATGCTACTGCTCAAGCCTTCCCGTCTCCTTATTCCCCCTCTTGCGCTTTTCACCCTTATCGTCCCATTCCAGCTTCACTTTTATCCCCCCTGTTTTCAACCCCCCAATTCTCGGCCCTCCCCCACCTTGCTTCAATAGTCGCTTGTCTTTTAGTTTCAACTCACATGTGAATACGTAGAGTCATTTCTGCACTGTCAATAGGCCCATATCAAAGCAAGCGGTCAAGCGCAGTTCATCGGTCTCCATTTGGAGCCCTCGATCCTCCTTCAGATTGGCATGCCTCAATGTACGCACATTGCTTCAGATCGGTCAACAGGCAGCACTTGCCCGAACATTAGAGACCCTCTCAATTGATGTCTGCTGCTTATCGGAGACCCGCCTGCAAGACTCGAGCTCTGTACTCACTCTGCGATCCCCTTCAGATGACACTAGCAGCACTTTCTCATTGCGCCTATCCGGTGACGATGCAGCTTCGAGCACCTGCCAAGCCGGTGTTGGTATTGTCCTGAGTCCCCGGGCTGAAGCTACCGTGGTTGAGTGGATTCCAATCAGTAGCCGGATGTGTGCGATCCGATTGGCTGGCTCTTTCAAAACTTCGAAGTCGCGTGGGACTAACAGGTGTCTATTCGTTATTGCTGCCTATGCACTGACAAACTGTAGCGATGACTCGGTAAAAGACGACTTCTATCGTCAACTGAATGAGCTCCTTAGCCACAGAAGAAGCTCGGACACTGTAGTGCTGGCTGGGGATCTGAATGCTCAAGCAAGAAAATTATCCACAGATGAGCTGCATCTGGGCGGCCAACATGGTACAGGCTCCCGTAATGATAACGATGAGCGGTTACTTCATTTGTGTGAGGATGCTCGCTTATTTCTTGCGAGCACTAATTTCAAACACAGCACTCGCCGGAGGGTGACTTTGCGCCCACCAGCCTCGAACCAGCTATGGACACAAATCGATCACATTGCGATAAGTTACCA